CCTGAACCATAAATTTTTCCCTAATTTTAACGGTGCTTTTGTAAGTTGCCATTTTCCTTTTTATATTGCCCAATGCAACCTAGGAGGACACCTCTAATAGGCAGCCCAAATATCACGCCCCAATGACACCGCACAGGTTTGCAATCCACAGGAAAAAAGGCCAACATAAACTATCAGTCTTCCGAAGAAAGATCATAAGAAAGGCCCAAATGCACACCATTTTGATATTTTTTATGTGAACTTTTAATTGGAAAAATTACCTAATTTCCTATATTTGAAGTTTCAAGTTCAAAAATTAGATAGTAATAATGTATGTATTTATTTAATTAATTAAAAATTAGGTATATTTAATATGCCACATCCCATCCTATCCCATCCCCGCGGCCATCCAAACCATTGGACCCATCCATCACCGATGATGGAATCACCTCCCCCTACAACTCCCAACCATCAATTTCAACAAATAGCAACAGATTTAGGTGGCAAGACATTTTTTTTATCAAATGTCATAAAATGTGAAAAAAAAATAAAAATTTACAAGCTTATTTTTTTAAAATGTATTTGAAACATTTGTAGTTATGTAATTTTCACTTCTTAATATGCTAAATACTTTCACATCCCATATTCATTCTTTTAAGTGTACCATATTTTAAGTAAATAAAAGATTCGCAATCTCTACTCCTTATCAAATTATGACCTCAACCTTTTTCTAATAGCAATGTACAGTCATTTCTTGTTATTAAGGAGGATAAAAACTTAGGGAAAATGCATTTGTACATTCATTAAGTACTGTAAATTGTACAGTCCTCTCACATGAATGTGGGGCTCACTAATTAATTTGTGGATGGAAAATCATCATTAAAGACAAGATTTCTCAACTAATGAAAGGTTAAATGATGAGTACGAGATAAGAAAAAAGTTAAAAACATAAATACGACATGGAATAAATATTATAGATTTTCAATACAATAAAAATGTGGTGCATTTATTAAAAGAAAAAAAAAAGTGTGAATATAATTATCGTTGTAACGTTCATTAAAATCTAAGTCTAGAACGCCCTTAGTCTAGTTAATTACGTTGCAATTTAGATAAATAACTAAATAATGAAACAATATCCTTCGTGTTTTGTTAACATTTTTGATAAATTAATTATATCATTTCATTATGTTAAAGTTAATGTTGGCTATAAATCTCCAATCAAACTACGTGTATATCATTCTTTACACTTTGTCACATGACAAAATATCATTGAACAGTTCAAAAAATTAAACAATTCTCCCTCCAACTATTTTTTAACAACACGTCAAATGTCAAGGATAATATACACTTTACATCTAGCATTTTAGATAAATCTCGGCCTGTGAAAAAAATGAAGCTCGATTCAGTCCATGACTCCTCTCAATACGAGCTCAAACATTCCATAAATCAAGCTGGGATTAGTCGAGGCCCGAGATGACGATTGACTCGGCCCGTTCGTCACGATAAATAGTAAGTCCCTTCAATGTGTGAAATAAGTTTCAATACACTGAGAAGGCAAAATGTATACAAAGAAATCATTCTAAACCGTTCGATTAAAAATACTTCAAAAATGTTTCAAAGCGAAATTTCAATTGATTAAATAATTAAACCAAATTTATAATAAACTCATATTTTGTACTTAGTAGGGTCTATCGAGTCACAAAAGTCAAATCTCACGTAGTAAAGTACTTCATATTGACTATTGTAATACTAAAAGCACAATTATAATGCTGTCTGATTTCATTGAGATTTTCATATTTTAAGCTCACTTTTTCAATACTAATCAAATAATTAATTATGCAAGTTTAATTAAAATTTACACCAAAAAAAGCGCTTTTTAGCCGTCTGACCAATACACTCTAAACACGTAATCAACTTTTACTTAAAAATAAGTAATCAGATGGAGACCAGTTTACTTAATCCATCCAAGTAGATTATCCTCAAAAGAGTCCAAGCAAGACAAGATACCTTAGCTAAGAAGATAGTTATGCATGTGGATATTCTTTTCAATATTTCATGGGATCAAAATGTTGGTGGTTGAAAGTATGGAACTCGTAAAAGTTGAAATCCATCTATATTCTTCGTCACTCCCACCTTTTCTTACTAGACAAATTTGATCTACGTTCACTATTCTTTTAATAAAATATCAACCGAGTCGTTGAATTTTAATCCCTATTTGATTTTGATAAATGAAAATATTTTCGGTAGATTTTAATAAATATCAATGAAATGTAACTAGATATGAATTTGAGAAAAAAATGAGTTTTTAAAAAGGGGCCAAACAGAAGCTTAATTTAGTTATAAATTTCACCACTTTGACACATTAAGGGAGTGTTTGACACCCATTTTAATGGATTGAAAAATTTTGGAATAGTGATTGATGGGAGAATGTGTGGTGGAAAAATGATGAAAAGTTTTAGATTTGTGTGTAATATTATTTTATTTGGAGATTGTGTGGTTGAAATGAAAAAAGAGAATGAGAATGAGAAAGAGANATTGTGTGGTTGAAATGAAAAAACAAAAAAGTGAATGAGAATGAGAAAGAGAATGATAATGAGTGCCAAACAGGGGCTAAATATCATCCCACCAACTGACGAGAATTGCTTAGCCCATGTTTGTTAAAACATATAATTAAGAGTCTGTCTGGTAACACCATTTTTTCAATTTTAATCACAAATCCAACCGTTGAAGCCGTCATTGTGGACTTCCCGTGAGATGCTGGGCCCCGCATAACGTTCCAAAAATTGATGAAAATCT